ATTATAGCGAAAACTCATGAGTGGCTTAATTTAAGTCTTGTTATGAGTTAACTACTCCTCTCTTCATCTCATGGATATAGATATTTAGCCGTATTTTTCCAGACAAATGGCTAAAGGACTTCATTATGGCTTACCTAGATTTTTTTGCAGTTTAATTTATCCTCCCTCGAAAGTGAGATAATTTCCACTTTTAACTCTTTGTTGAGTTATTAACTCCTCTTTGAAAGTTCTCTTTTATTATCGTGATCATATGGTTGCATTATATTGGAAACATCAATCATTCTAACTGGAGAAGATACCTTAAATTCTTCATTGAAAGTCTGCAATTCGTCAGCCCTGTTCTTTAGTAACCCTTTTGACTTTTAGATGGGTAGTTTTACTTGTTCAAGTCAAGTCTCAGTCCAGTGTATCAAGTGTTTTGATTTCATTTTGAGTCTATTTGGACCGTTAAATGGGCTCTAATGTAAATTATGAGCAATATGTTTGGACTCACTCCTGGCATTAAATGCTGAAATTTTGCTGATACGGGGCAATGCGGATTGCATTTGTCCATATTTCACATCTTTATTAAAATATGATATTTGAAGTTAATATATTACTATGACAGTTCAGAAGTTATCAGAAGAGAATGGCAGGTGTTGCCGGTGAGTAAAGAGAAGCGTAGAAGTGGAATAAAAAGTATGGTCTGGAAGCAGTTTTATCAACAAAAGTGTGTCTCATAGATAGATAAGATCTAGTAGAGTGTAGGACTATGGGATATTTTTTTCTGGATATGCTTGGCCACATCTGAAATCTGAACTCATACGCTTATTTTGTCTTCTGCTTAAATTCGGCAAAAATTGTTAGTCTTTAGCCATCACCAAATTTTAACAATTTTTGCAGATTCTTCAAGTCTCCACAGAAGAATTGCAACATGGCTTTGACTCTGAGCTCCCAGTTGGTGTCAAAGAACTTCTGACTTATGCTAGAAATCTCTTAGAGCATTGCTCCTATAAAGCACTTGAAAAAATTAGTCGAAGTCAAGATTATTTAAGTGACAAGGAATTTCGTCGTTTTACCTATGACATGATGCTTGCCTGGGAGGCACCCACTTGAATGTGATCCGCCACAACATGTGAGACAGTTCATTCTTTCTTGTCTTAGCATCTGTAAGATGCAATAGAACTCTATTTTCCTCTAATACATGATACTTCTTACATATTGGGTTCTGACCATGCTGCGGCCTACTCAACTGCAGGACGCTACTTCTTGCTTTAAGTCCGAAATGGTGGATGAAGATGAGGGGTCCTTATTTTATTCAAGTTCCACAAACATGGCACTTCAGGTGCTCTTTGCCACCATCACCCCAGTTTAATCAAGTTTCACCAATGATTCATGGGCTTTAATGCTCATTTTCCTCCTCTTAATCAGGTTGATGCTGACAAGACAGTTGGTCCGGAAGCCTTTGCCCGCATAACTCCTGCTTGTGTTCTTGTAGCTGATATAATGACTGTCCACACTCTTTTTGATGCACTCACGAGTTCTTCAGGACGCCGCCTTCATTTTCTTGTTTATGACAAATACTTGAGGAGCATTGATAAGTATGATCTTTTTTCTCCAGCGCGGTTGTATTTTTTTAAGTTTGAACTCTAAAGTAATTTGAGTTTTTTTTAATCAGTCTTTTTTTGGCAACAATAAACTCTTAAGTTTAATGATGAATGGATTGTATTATGTTCCTTTCGCTACCTTTTTTCTGTTTTGGGAAAAGCTGAAGACCCTACTGTGTATATAAGCATCTTGTAACTTCAACAAGATAGGGTAGTAAATTGTCCAACTTGCCATTTCTGCTATTGTTTGGCTACCCATCCAACTTATAACCCGGCTTCATTAAATAGACTGAATTGCTGCTATATGCACGCCTATTGATTTCAACTCTTCACTAATCCTTGTAGCCATCATACCTCATATCAAAACCTGATCTGATACCAAAGTTGTTGGAACCCAATGATAATTCTGGCAAATTTTATGTCACAAGGCTGGTTTGCACCCTCTGAACAGTAGTAGTGGAGGAATATAGCCAAGAGAATTACAAAATGATGTAAAACAGAGCTAAAACGAAAGGAAAAGATTTCTAAGATGCCCACCTCAAGCTTTTGAGAGTCTAAGACTCTTAAACATGTCCATCACTTGACCCCTTCTCTCTTCACCCTCTCCCCATATGCTCTGTTAGTTATCATGTTTTGTCTTACCCTACCTCCCAAGCTTGAGCACACTGCACACCTTCCTCGGACCTATTTGGGCCCTTAAATGTGATGCTTTTTGTGCAAGGCAGAGGCAACACTTAATATGTCACTAGATTTGCTGCTACACCATGCTTCGTTGAGCAAAATTATGCCACGTGGGATGCTGAAAATGACATTGCTCAATCTTGGTTAATGTATCATAATGTGAGGAATTCTCATGCATTATTGGAATAGATGCTTGGTATAATAGGAATTAAGGTATTAAAGTTGTCTTAAAATTTGCAGTACACAAGATTAAAAAGAAAAGAAGAAGAAGAAGGAAGACAATAACAGCACACAAAGGCGCCAGTCAAATATCTAGGAAAGGTGGAAAAAAAAAACAGAGAATTAAAAACAATAACCGTACTTAAATGCTTCATAAAGAATTGACCCAGCTTGCACAAGATCTAGGCTTAAGCCACGGCCGCAATGGGCCGCATTTTCATAGATAAAGGTTGCAGTGTACTGAATGCTAACACTCCCCGCTCCAGCTGAGGAGCAGATAACAATCAACCTCAGCTTGTATCCAAGCTTTTCGAACCTACTTGAGCTAGGCCTTTGTTAAGACATCCACAACTTCAGTCTTAGTTAGGATGTATGCAAAGTCAATAATTTCTGAATTCACCCTCTTTGATGAAGCGTCGGTTTATTGCGGTGTTTTTTTTGGGGTCGTGTTAGACAATGTCATTTGCTATATTGATGGCTGCCATACTGGAATTTGGCTAATTACTCTTCAGGAAGTCTCTTTAACCAAAAGCTTTAGTAAAAACATAATTAGCTTAATTAAAAGGATCACCTTATGCTACCTATTAGCACTTAGCAACTATGGTCAAGTAAGATCTTTTGAATAGCATAATTAGCTTAATAATTATCGGTAAAGAAAAATGTTTGGACAATCTGGTACTTAAATTTTTTTTTATAATGCCAATGCATCTTGTGTCAATTGGTGATTGTTATTGTTTGTATTCTTTCTAACAGGAAGCTTTATGCAGAGTCATAAAGAATTCAAAACATGTAATAGACACTTCAACGGTGAATCTTCAGCTTGCTGATGGCGAGGTTGTCATTGATCTTGATGGAACAAATCCAACTCAACCAGTTCTGCAACACATAGGGATCTCTGCGTGGCCTGGTGAGTCGTTGGAAGTCTCAAAATGGGTTGCTTATCACGGACGAAAGGAGTGTAGTTGTCATCTTTGATTAGAACATTATTTATGCAATAAGACAATCCTTCTTGATTAACAGGTAAGGTAACATGTGAGCTTGTAATTGTCCTCTCTTTAAGAGCTTTCATCACGTCCCATTTTTCTCTTTCCCAAAAGGGCATTGAGGGGCCCCAAACAAATAAGGTTAGGGAGCTGGGAAAAGCGGGATGGAAGAGGGAAAACTGAAGAATGTTAGGGATATTTTAGTCAACAAAAATGCATTTTCAAGAAAGTGGGCCTTGTGCTCACACAAAGCTTAAAGCAAGCTGTGTTTTTTATTGCTTATAAACATGGCAGCTCTATGGTAATTTCACATGATGTGCTGCATGTCGCCTCAATTTCAAGCTCTTGATAGTTGAGCGCCTGTCTGGAGTGTCTCTTCGTACTATTATTTGTTTAGGTTGGCTTTTATTGTTCATCGTCTACTGACTATATCTATATATATAAATATATATATTCTTATTTACTTTGTAGGACGATTGATCCTCACCAATTATGCTTTGTACTTCGAGCCTCTGGGACTTGGGTTGCATGAGAAAGGTGTTCGATATGATTTAGAAATGGATATGGAACAGGTCATAAAGCCTGACTTGACCGGACCCCTTGGTGCTCGTCTTTTTGATAAAGCCGTGATGTACAAGTCAACTTCTGTGTATGTTATCTGGTGATATAGATAACTAACAAGTAGTCAATATGTGTTATCACCACAGGCTTCCTTTTCGATTTACCTTTTATGAACTTTCCATATGTGTTGACAGAGCAGAGCCTGTTTATTTCGAATTCCCCGAATTTAATGCAAACTTGCGTCGTGACTACTGGCTGGAGATTTGTCTTGAGATCTTTCGTGCTCATAAGTTTATAAGGAAATACAACCTTGAAGAGATTCAGAAATCAGAAGCACTAGCGAGGGCTATTTTGGGGATCTTCCGATATCGTGCAGTTAGAGATGCTTTTCAATATTTCTCTTCCCACTATAAAACTTTACTTGCATTTAACCTCGCTGAAACTCTTCCTGGAGGAGATGTCATCCTGGAAACTCTGTCTAGTTGCCTGACAAATTTGACTTCTGTTGCTGATAAACATGTTTCTGGTACCATAGATACTAAGATGCACCAGGCGGTATCCCTGGCATCAGTTTTGACACTTGCTCGTCTTGGTTTCGTACCACTGAAGAAAGCTGATATTTATGAAGAAGCAGCTGTTTACGGCGATGTTCGGGTCGGTGAGACAACTCAATTGGAAGTGGCAGTGAAAAAATCCCTTCTTGACACAGGAAGGGCGCAAGCTGCACAGGCAACAGTGGAGCAAGTGAAGGTTGAAGGCATTGACGCAAATGTTGCAGTAATGAAGGTTGATTTGATTTTCATTTCATAAAGTTCTATTGGCGGAAACAACAGATACTTCTGGTATCAAGAAAAGAGCAAACTAAAGACTGCGAAGATTTTTGTTATACTCTAATTAGAACTTCAAACTCAGCACTGAAAATGCTCGCGGTGCATTAATTTGTATTTATAAGAACAAAAACTGAATTAATTCTTTCTTCTTTTTCCTCTTAATATCCAAGCCCAGTTTGAATTCCTCGTTGGTACCTTGAAAACATAATCTGATAGATATGCTCTATGAGTTTAGTTATCCATTAACTGGTCTAGCTTCTCATGAGCTCATGATAAGGTGTTTTCTTGAAGATGAGAGAAAAATCAAAGCAGTATATTGATTTATATATGGATAACTCTCTCTACTCCTTGCAGGAACTATTATTCCCCGTCATTGAAGCTGCTGGTCGTCTGCGATTTTTAGCCTCGTGGAAAGACTTCTATGGATCAGGATCGTTTTTGTTACTCTCCTGTTACGTGATTTTATGGTAATTGTTTTCTTGGAATGCCAGCATATATGATCATGATTACATAAAAGCATGTGTGTTTGTTGGTTGCCTGTGATAGAAATGTCAATCTGATCTACATCATAAAAATATTTTGTCGTTGAAAATTGTGGGGGTCCAGTTTAGAAATGTATTTTTTCATTGTGGTAACATTCTGTTTTGACACGAGCACGTGCCGATTTTGAACATTTTTATAAGATGGTTTTTCATATTGAAGGTACTCATCGTAAGTGACCTCATAAAAATGGATATATGTGAAGGTTGTTTTTAAGATGGATGCAAGCAAGGTAGCCTAATAGCTGCTTAGCGTATGTCGTAGTTAATGGTGGTTTATCATTGGAAGAATAGCAGCGGCTTCTAGTATGCCAAATGAATTAAAGTATGCACCGCAAAGTCCCCCCGGGGTGAAAGCACCATGAAATCTTTAGGGAGAAAGCGACCGGGGTCAATAGATTGCCACAATAGATTGTCTGAATAGGCCCCAAAGGTCAAGCACCTTTTGGCGCCTGACTGAGGGCGTCGCCTCTCCCACAATGAGAGGTGATGAGCATTTTTGGTGCGAGCAAGTGCCTTTGACAACTTTGGTTGATCTTTCATTGTCATTTATTTTACTTCTTGATTTTTAATAGTATAGTCACTACCGAAAAGTGGATCTGTATTATGAACTGTTGTACCTTAGCATGGTTACCCAATATTCTGGAAGTCACTACCTGAGACTCCTATATGGTTTCTATAGTTAATGGTAGATTGAATAACTTGCAGTGCTTTAACTTCATTCAAAATGTTCATTGGCCCCATGATGAAACAGTGATGACTTTAAATAATGATATTCTTGGCTTAAAATTGCCTTCCATTGTACAGGGGGTGGATCCAGTACATATTGCCGTCGATTTTAGTGTTCTTTGCAAGTCTGATGCTCTGGCGTAGGCATTTCAACAGTGGAAGACAAAGAGGAGCTTTTACAGTAACTTCTCCCCCAAATCGAAATGCAGTAGAACAACTATTACAATTACAGGAAGCCATCGCCCAAGTTGAATCACTTATTCAAGCTGGAAATATTACTCTCCTGAAAATAAGAGCTCTTCTACTCGCTTTATTACCGCAAGTGAGTATCCTAGTCATGGTCCATTTCCATGGGGCAAATATTAATATGATGGACAGACAGTGTGCATTTTAATATAGGTTTGTGCTATATCTCAATGTGCATAGCCTTTGCTTAATTTGGGCTGCATTGTGCAAATCTACTTGGAATGAAGAAGATTTTTTCTAGTACATGAAGTACGGAAACCCCCCCCCCCCAAAAGATATCTATGATAATCCAACTAATATGTCCTCAGCATGGAGAAAGAGGGAGAATTTGGAAATCAGACTTGAAATAATCTCGATTAGAACAGTTAACCTCTCTATCCAAGTAACCATTACACACCTAAAAGAAATACGTTAACACAACCATGATGTACCTGAATCTCTTATGTGGCCCCGAAACAAAAAATCTGAATGTCAATCTTACTGCATCATATGTGAAGAATGATTGTAAAGGAATAATTGTTCCATAATTGATGTCATAATTCTTGGGCTTGCTTTTTTATTTTCTCATAAAGCCTATTGATTCAGCTCTATCATAAGATGCGTGATTAAATGATGGGAGTTTCTGTAATGCACACATGTTTTCACAGGAGGAATTCCCTCTCACCATAAATTATCCGTTTGTCCTTTAGGCTACGGAGAAGGTTGCATTGTTGCTGGTTTTCATGGCTGCAGCGATAGCTTTTATTCCTCTCAGACACATAATTTTGGTGGTCTTTGTAGAGTTATACACGAGGGAGATGCCTTGTAGGAAACAAAGTAGTGAGAGGTGGATCAGGCGGGTTAAAGAATGGTGGGTAAGGATACCAGCAGCTCCTGTCCAGCTTATTAAGCCTGATGACGGCGAGAAAGTTAAATGATAAATGTTTTCATGTATTATATGAATTCTAGTTTTAAAATGTGCTTGTATATTCTTTTCTTTTGTTCTTAAATTTTTGAAATGTTCATTCTAGGCAGCAGCTTTACTCACATATGCCTTCTGTGCTTCCCCTTTTCCTCCTTCATGTTATAGGATATGGGGCATGAGTGTTGGGGTTGGCACTTGACAATTCAGCTCTTTCAATTTGACTGATGTTTTACGCTGCCAATAAAGGATTTAGCGCATTATTCTTACCCAATGCTACCCTTGAATAATTAAGGAAGGATGGTCCATCACATGAAAATGAGAAGGAAAAAAAAAAGACAAGATAATAAACTTGACTACCACTTAAAGTAACAATTTTACTAGTTTAGACATTATTTTTTCATGATTCAATTTTTTCATGTTCCTTCTATAAATGAAAGGGCCCACGGGCTTCTGGAGCAGTGGCAGCAATTACTGCTTTTTCTGAGTAACAAGGACGGACATGGACGTGATATCTGCTAGGAAGCGGGACGCAGACGACGACGAGAACGGAGTCGTCCAGGAGGACGTCGGACGGGAAGCCGTTGGAGGCGGCGACGGCGGAAGCCTTGTCGAGGGAGCAGCTTGAAACAGCGTAGAGAAATTATGGCACGGGAAACCTTGGGCAGGCCTACCAGGCCCGTCCTTGGAGCATCACCGAGGAAGAAATCTCAGACTAGGAGTTGGATGTAAATGAAGCTACAGAAGAGGGTCTTCTTGCAGAATAAAAATCTGGGGCTTTGAAATCTTTAAATAAGTTTCATTCCAGATGATGACCAGTTTCCAGCTCCAAAACGAGAGAAAAAACTAGGAAGAAGAGGAAAAAATGGTCAAGCATATGAAAGGATGAGTTACTTAGCCAGAACGGATAACTGAGGCCTTGAACTGCCTTAGGACGTGAACCTGCGGAAAGGCTCTGATTTAAAATAATGGTTAAAAATTGGAAAAGGACGTTGCTTAAGATGCACGTGAAGGCATATCCATAGATGAATAATCCGTTAATTATGCATAAAGTAGAAGCAAAAGGAGAACGAGAATGAACAAAGGAGTCCATTGTTATTCATACCACTTTCATAGCATCAGCCATGCTTCACCGAAGAACCTTCCAACACGCAGGAACCAAAGACTAGACTGAAAGCGTCAATAACATTATTTTGCAAGCACAAACACGACACGTAGTGGACCCCATCCCTAACATGGTTTGTCGCAGAAGCAACGGCGACGGACGCCACTGCAGTGGCCGTCGAGGAAGCCCTCGGTCTGGCAAACGGCGGCTCAGTTAGATTTGCTCAGACAGGTCCCCTTGAAGCGGTGGCTCTGAGACTCGCACGTCCTTGCTTCTGCCGCCATCGGCCCCATTTCTGATCAACACATAACGTAAAAACGGCAGCGTTACGGATCAAAGAGATAGCATTTGTTTTTTAAACGTAACAAACTCTTAATCTTTTTCTGCTTGGACAAGCAAGACATACGTACAGAAATACTGGTTAGAGGAAGAAGTGGCCAAGAGATACGTACCAGTGGCGACCAAAAGGAGAAGGAGGACGAAAATGGTGGAAAAAAGAGGCACAGATTTCGCCATGTCTGAGAATATGAAAGGAAGGGCCTTAGAACGCAATACAAAGAGGCGACGTGGTGGTCTTAAATAGCGAAGTTAGGGTGGTGAAAAACAGATGTAAACAACAACATCATCGTCATTGTTTGGGTGGAGTCTACGTCCATGCTTTTGTTTTTGTTTTTTTTCATATACATTGCTTTTACGGTAGAGAGTGAGTCTTATATTTAGGATAACTGGATATACAATTCATTATCTCTACTCACAACAAGAAGAGTTGATCTCTTACGACTCGAAGGTTGAATTAGCCGTCTGGATAAAAACTAAGTTATGGTTTTAAAAATAAATCATGATTTTAAAAATAATTTTACAATATAAAAAATAAGCATATGAAGAAAATTTTGTTTCAATTTACATAAAAATACATTTTAAAAGTACTTTTTATGTTCCCAAATACTAAGAGGGTGTTTGGTTACACTTCAAAGTAGGTTTAAAAAATATTTTCATTCAAATCGAGATAAAACTCTTCTCATATGTTTATTTTGTATATCATAAAATTAATTTTAAAATTATATTTTATTTTTTACCAAAATACTATTCAACATCCAACATTATCTCGAACATGCCTGTGAGAATATATATATATATATATATATATTGTACGTTCTCTATATAGCGTCTCCTCCTTTCTTCTTCTCTGTTGCATGATGTATGTATTGAATAACATATTTAAATATTATAAGTTGGTATTGTATAAAACTTTTATTTCCATATTAAAATTTAAAAATTAATAAGTTTAGATTACTAAAATTAATATAACTAGACGAATCAAAACTTACAAATTGAGAGGAAGCGGGTAGAAGTGAAATGAAAGAAATTGGTGTGTGATACAATAAGCTAAAGCAGTTTACTCATGTTTTTATAATCCTGTTAAATTATGTTTTTTCCAAGCAGATGGATAGGAAAATTATCACATCATTTATAGTCTGTAATAAATAATTTTATTTATTATTATTCCATAATATAAGAGCTGGTTAGAATTTTAATTTGATTCTAAATATAAGATCCCAATTTATTTTATCTCTCATATTTATTATTATTTTTAAATAATCTTTATAGTAGTTGTATATATTAAAATTTTTATCAAATTGTAGCTTTAATTAATACACTTAGTAAGAATATTTTAAAACAAATAATTAATTTAATTAACTATTTTAATTTATATCAATTAACTAAATTTTATATTAAGCATTGAAAATACTACCTTCAATTTTAATTCTAAAATCTTGTTTATAATTTATAAATAAAATTTCATAATTAGAAACGGAAGTAGTATATATTTATGTTCTGTTCTGATTCCAATTTTGAATGATTGCCCAGCGCTTCTCAGTTCTCCCATTTCTCCCATTATGAGGCGATTGGATCCGTAGAATTTTGTCATCACGCCTATGCGATCAGATCCTGCCTGACGCGTTTAACCCCCCCTCGGTCCCACGTTGCGACTTGCCGAAGAATAAAATCTTGAGGAGAAATGGAGTTTTTTAAAAAAAAATATTTTTTAAAATAGTTATTATAATAGTTACACATATTAAAAATTCTATTAAATAGTAGTTTTAACTAATATATATAATTAGTAAAAATATTTTAGAAAAAATAATATATATTTATTACAAATAACAAATATTTTTAATCTGATCAAATTAATTAACTAACTCTTGTACTAATTACAATACTCTTCCGTCCTTTATTTATAAGCAACAACTACCATTTCTTTCTTGTCTCTAAATATAAGCAATATTTACAAATTGTTTTAAATTTTTGTAGCAAATTTTCTATTTTACCTCCATTAATTACTTATTTCAATACCTAATATATTTATTATCTTTTTTTTTTAATCTTCATCTCTTTGCATCCACGTTCTCTCTTTTATAATTTTTTTTATTATAATAATTTTTTTATTCTCTCTCTTATACTCTCTTTTCTATAAATAAGAGTATTTTTTTAAAAAAAAAAACTCTAATTTTTATTTATTTACTCCTCCGGTCCTAATTATAAGACCCAATTGACTTATTTGAGGAGATTAAGGAAGTAAGTTAAGTTGGTTATTTATAATAAATAAGTGTTGTCATTCCTAAAATATCCTTGCTAATTAAGTATATTGGCTAAAACTATCATTATTAGAAAGATTATCTTGAAAAAAAATGCATAAATATAAGAGACAAAATGGATTGGGGTCTTATAATTAGGACCAAATAAAAAGTCAAATGGGGTCTTATAATTAGGACCGGAGGAGTATTATTTTTAACTTACTTTTTTATCTTCATAATTCGTGATCAAGTTCAATATTATTTATAAAGTCCAATGCAGTCCAATGTTATTCCCAGTCTTTCTTGTGGCGTCTCCTGCTCTTTGCAGCTCTATTATTGTCCTTTCCGCATTCAGAAATTGAGGTTGTTTGGGATTAGACTCTGCAGTCACCAGCCATTCATGTTCCATCAAACTCCAATCAGTACTATGAAGTGGGAACCTACTTATTGTGGATTTAGGGGAAATTGGGAAAAAAGTGGTGTGATGACTCATCATGTTGTTTTTTTTTTATTTTTTATTTTCTCTATGATTTATCATGCTCTAATGATCACTGGAAAAAAAGAAAAGGGAATGCATGACACGGGAACCGGCCCAGGAAAATTACAAAGATTTCGCTTTCACAGAAGATTTTCGCTGGTCATCCCCCGATGGGGACCGGGCAATGGCACAATATTTTTTTTTTTAATGAAACAAGAGTATTCCTAAATTATACTACCTCCGATCTTAATTATAAGAGCCAGTTGACTAATTTGAGGAGATTAAAGAAGTAAGTTGAGTTACTTATTTGTCCTAAATAGGTGTTGTCTTTTCTAAAATATCCTTGCTAATCAAGCGTATTAACTAGAACTCTTATTATTAGAAGGGCTACTTTGAAAAAAAGTGTATAAATATGAGAGACAAAGTGGATTGTGGTTTTATATTTAGGACCAAAATAAGAGTCAAATAGGATCTTATATTAAAGACCGGAGGTAGTATTAAACTTGAGACTTTTGGCCAAAAAAAAAACCTGAGATTAATTCTTTTTGAGTCTGGAATGGTTAAGGAATAGCTCTCCCAACAAGCGCCTTTCTCATGATTCAAACTTATGTTCTCTTCTTTACGAGAGTGAGGCTGTTACCACCTCAACCAACAATTTGTTAGTAGAGAATGGCACAATATTTTGTATTCATGAATCATGATTTATGGGTAAAATTACTATGACATCCAAAATCAAATATAATTATCAAAAAATTTTCCATGGGGGGAAATGGTGTTTTAACTTTTAAAGGCGAAAAGAAGGAAATGTGATGCTCTGAATGGTGTGGGGCGGGGGGGGGGGGGTGAAAGGCGGGGCCAACTTAGTGCGGGCTCCTGCCTTGGCAAAACACAAAACAACGTTTGCAGCCAAACGCACACACCCACACCACACAAAAGCGCGCGCGCGCACCACACAAAAACACACACAAAAAGCAACGTCTCCCCTCCTTTTTGTTCTGATCCTAACTGTCCCAACTTTTTTTTTTTTAAATCTTTAACTACGT